CCTTCTTCAGAAAATGAAGAAGGGTCTAGGCCCGAAACGTCAGCTTTCCTGCTCCTCTGATGCTGCTTGGCCTGCTTTGTTTATCCAGCTCTACACCTTGTTATCTCAATTTTTCAAGCAGGTTTTGTACTGACACTGGATGTGGCTGCCAGTTTCCAGTTAATTTTTAAAAAAATTTTGAGGCTCAAAAATGTAATTTAAAGGTCTACATAATTTCCAGTTGTTTTGCTAAATCAATTACCACCTCATATAAAAGAGCTGACCAGGATTCTTAGGGTGCAGTGTGTGCTGAACTGCATTTAAACTGTATCAGCATAAAACATCTGACAGTATTTTGAGGACATTTGGGGTTTTTTTTGTCTTGTCTCTTTTATTTTTCAACCAAAATCGGTAAAGAAGCTTTGTGCTATGTATTCTAGCATAAACAGTTCTGGAGCACAGACACAATAGTGGGTTTGACTTACCCTTATGGAGAAAGAACAAGAAGGGGGCCTGGGTACATCAAGAATCTAAACAGACTGCATTGACCTGTTGGAAACTTCAAATGATCTTTATAGGTAGAGGCCCACCTTTCAGGCAATCACAATTTATGACTGGCCAAAAGCATTTCTGATCAGGAGATGCAGATGCAGGGGTGTGCCACCTACTACGAGCACACTTGCAATTTACATGCACCATAAACTTGCCGATGCCAGCCATCTGCAAGGACTTCCCTTCTGAACAGACTGCAATGCCATGCTATGGGGATAGTTCCCAGAAGAGGCAATTAAGAGTGTCTTTCTTGCTTCCAACACGTTTTTTTTATTTCAAAAAGATACTGTATTCATAAAATCAATTTTATATACATAATAGTCACTAAAGAAGTTCAGTTCTGTACAGTCTTAGCATATGGAGAACAAACAAACATTGGAGTTTGACTTTTCCAACAGTTCAACAAACCCAAAGCATTTCTTACTTACATGCAAGTTACTATTTACATATATTTGAGGCACCGAGAAGGTCTGTTAACTGAACTGTTAATTGTACTTTGGCTGAAAGGCATTAGACAGTGGTCTTTCTCCACTGTGCCTTGGTGGCAGCTGCCCCAAGCCTAAGTGTGTCCCTCAGCATGTCTTCCTGGACCTTGGAATGTGCCAGTCTGCAACTATCGGTCAAGGTCAACTCTTTGCTCTGGAAGACCAACATGTTTCGGGCAGACTAAAGAGTTTCTTTCACCAATTTGATGATCCTCCAGTGCAGTTGATGTTTGTCTCGGTGTCTGTTTGGGGAAGAGACTGTAGAGCACAGAGTCCTACTCCACAGAACTGCTAGGGACGAACCTCTGCATCACTCTCCAGACTTCCTTTGCAAAGGCACATTCCAGCAGGAGATGTGTGACAGTCTCTACCACCACCGCGCATCCCCTCCCCCCCAGCCCCGCACATGCACACACACACGTACACACACACAGCCGCTTCAAGGGCAGCGTGTGGTGGCGCAGAGACTCCCAGCATACATGAAGGATTACACAGATGGTGCCCTTCTTACCACCAGACAAATGATGTCTTGGTGCTTGTTGGAAAGTTCCCATGATAACTTTGACAGTCTGCTCAGGGAACAACCCAACAGGATCCACCCTTCCTTTTCCCGCAGGGTCTCAAGGATGCTATGTGCTGACCACTTCTGATGAACTCGCGGTCAAGGGCGTTCTTCTTTGCAAATTTCTCCAGAAAGGACAGGTATCCAACTCATTCTTTTCATAAACAAGGGAGAACACAAACACAATCCCCCACTACCACAAATTTTGCAGTTGAGTATCCCACATTTGGAGACATTGGAGGCTCAGCACACCCAAAGTGCAACGGGATAGCCTTGTCCTGGGAGAACATTCTTCTATTTCAAAAATATATTTTATTCATAAAAGTATCTTTATATTTTCACATAGTCACTAAAGCAGTTTGGTTCTATACAGTAGCTTATGAAGAAACAAACAAACATTGGAACTTGATTCTATCCAACGAACAAACCAAAGGCATTTCTTACTTGTATAAGACTATATTTACATTTTTTGAAGCCACAAGGTGGTCTTACAACCAAATGAACCCCCATTTAATTTGGACTGAAAGACCTTGGATGGTGGTCTTTCCGCACAACCGCCACTTAACTAGTTACCAAATAAGGGGTTAAGAGCTGCACCGTTCGACCACTTGACAGATTTGGTTTCTCACCTGTACATTTATTGTGTCTACTATTACACTAGTTTCCACATGCTTTTGTTACCTAAACAGACTGTACAAAGGTTCAAAATTTTATCAGAAGTGTTAGTAGTCTTTGCTAAAGACTACCATGAGATCAAACACAACATGTGAATGAAGCAGATGTTGGAAAATTAGACACACTACCAATTAAAGACAAATCAGAATCTAGAACAAAAACTAGATGGATGGACAGGGGACTTATCTGCAAACATTACAATCCTTTCATGCAATATTCCATTTTATCCTGTTGAAAAGTTAGAAAGACATGCACTGGAAGTCAGTTGACTCCATCTTTAAATAAACAGATGGAACTTTGCTGATGGCTTTGGGCGCAAACTGTTACTTTAGCCCCTGGCATAAGCAAGAGGCATCTGTGGATTTCCTGTTTTTCTTTTTACTAATTACTTTCCTTGGAAGCCCTGAAGGTACAGGAGTGTTCCTCCAGGCCCCACAGAGAATGTTTAGTCATCTCCTGCCTCTGGCTTCCCCAGACCATAATTTATCAGAATGTCAGGGACTCTTTCTTAAATTCCTGACCTTGGCCTCTGCCACTTGGCTTTACACTCAGTCACTGAAAGTAAGCATGCAGGTGCAGCAGGCAGTAAAGAAGGCAAATGGTATGCTGGCCCTCATTGCGAGAGGTTTTGAGTACAGGAGCAGGGATGTGTTGCTGCAGTTGTACAGGGCCTTGGTGAGACCACACCTGGAATATTGTGTGCAATTTTGGTCTCCTTTTCTGAGGGAGGATGCTCTTGCTCTTGAGGGAGTGCAGCGAGGGTTTATCAGGCTGACTCTGGGGATGGCAGGTCTGACATATGAGGAGAGATTGACTAGGTTGGGATTGTTTTCGCTCGACTTCAGATGAATGAAGGGGGATCTCATAGAGACATAAAGTTCTAACAGGACTGGCCAGGGTAGATACATGGAAGATTTTCCTGATGGTGTGTGTGTCCAGAACCAGGAGTCACAGTATGAGGATTCTGGGTAGACAATTTAGAATGGAGATGAGGAGACATTTCTTCACCCAAAGAGTGGTGAGCCTGTGGAATTCATTACCACAGGAAGTAATTGATGCCAAAATAATGAATGTATTCAAGAGGCAACTAGATATAGCACCTGGGGCGAATGGGATCAAAGGTTATGGAGAGAAAGCAGGATTAGGCTGGTGAGTTGGACAATCAGCCATGATCGTGAAGAATGGCGGAGCAGGCTTGAAGGGCCAAATGGCCTCCTCCTTCTCCTCTCTTGTATGTTTCCATGAGCCCATTGGCCTATTTCAGCTTCCTGCTTGTTTTGGGCAGGCAGCATGTAAATGAATCTCAGAAGTTGAGGCTCATGTTGTTAAACTCAGATTGGATTACACCTCCCCCTGACTCCTGTGCCAATTTAAAATTAAGGCTATAGTGATTTTCCCAGTCTCCTGGTGAAAAGACATAAGGTGACTTGCTGGCAGAAACAAAAGTCTCTACAATCAAATATATTATGCACTACTCTTTAATAATTTTTTAAAATCATTTTTAAAAGGTTCAATTTAAAGAATGAAACTGTAGTTTCAAAGATAGGACCTCAGTGTTTCAGAATAAACCAAATTTGTTATACAATAGGCATCACTGCTTTGGAAGAAACAAAAAGCTGTTTAGCCAGATATTAATAATACTAATTAAGTGTTGTTACATGTGTCACATTCAAGTCATTAGAGTTAGTACTCCTGTGAACTTACTGTTCATTGGCTGGGCTCTGATTAGAAAAGAATCTTACATTGATCTTTCTGTAGATTAAAATCTCCAAAGAAAAGAGAATTACTGTTGAAATTCAGTTCCTGCCTGTCCTTATGGAAAGTGTATTAAACTTACAGCAAAATTACATTTCAGTTCATATATGTTCACTGCAATTTGTAAGGTTTTTTTTTGATTTGGTACCTTTTTGGCACAAATGTTCCTTTTGCACTATAAATACTTCAAGGGTAAAAACTGAGTCCTGAACAATAAAAATACTTCAAGCTCACAGCAATGAAAAGTGAGCTCTTAATTAAGTGAAAGGATTTTTCTTGTAGTGCATTGTTAAAAATTGTTAAACTCAGTTCTGACGAAGGGTCACTCGACCTGAAACATTAACTCTGATTTCTCTCCACAGATGCTGCCAGACCTGCTGAGCTTTTCCAGCAATTTCTGTGATCTACAGCTGCATAAGAAAAGAATTGTAATCCTGCTGTAATTATTTTTCTGTTGCTTGAATAATTAATCAAACTATTGTTCAGCATAATTCATTTTATATCTAACTTTCAACTCTGTTCTTTCCATCTGCTTCCTTATACAATGCTCTAATGAATCTAAAAATAAGCTCAAACAATACATCAGAGTTGCCATAATATTTTAATTATTATTTCCTTATTTATAGTTTTTTTTTACTTCAATTGTTCTTTGGTGCATTTTGACACATATTATATACCTAATATAAACAGTATATACAACATGGCAATATTTGTACATTGTGGTATGTTATCTAAATTAATTAAAATTTTACCCTGGAAAAATCTGTCAATAATCATAGGTTGGCACTTGTTATATAAAATCATCAAAATATTCGGGATCATTATGTGTTATAAAAACAATTTGTCGAATTTTTCATTTCCTCTCCTGTGAACACCAACATGGCTGCACAAGCATTAATTTTGGACTATCAGTGACAGCATGTTATTTGATTATGAAGACCATCAAATTTTCTATGTTTTTACACTAGTCAGCCAAGAAAATAAAACAAGAAACTTTTTGTAGGGACTGGAATAAAACAAAGTGTAAGATTGACTGACCAAAGCATCAGGCAAGCTCAGAAACGCGCACCACATAAAATTTTGCAATTCGCTGAATCAAATCATAAAAAAGTCACTAGCTATAGTCATTATTAAAATGTGTACTTATGTTTTACTTATTTGTTCATGGGATGTACAATTATGGAGCATTCCTAATTGCTCTTGATAAAGGGGTGATGAGCTCCCTCCTTGTACTGATGTTGTGTAGATACAGCCATTACTCGTAGAAAGAGAAAATTCCAGGAGTTTGACCCCATGACAGTGAAAGAAAGGTGATGTAGCTGCAGCTCAAGACGGTGAATGACTTGGAGGGGAACTTGTTCGTCCTAATGTTTCTATGTATTTGCTGCCTTTGTCCTCCTAGGAGGTAGAGACTATGTGTTTGGAGGGAGGCTTGACAAGTCGTTTTATGAATGTTTCTATCTGTTTGTCAAACTTACTTACAGTTTCCATGACTTTCTGTCAATATGCAACATTAGAATCTCTTGCGTTTGGTTCCTCTGTCATGATTAAACCCTATGCAGGGAGTTCTGCATCAAGTTTCTCAATTCCTTGTTCACCTGTCTCCCAATCTTGAATTCTATGTAGGTACTTTTAAAAATATGCTTAACTTTTTGATTGAAATATAGCTATTTACGTTATAATTTCAGTTATTCTAAGGATTTCAAAATCAACCGATCTACACCTCCATCCCCACCAGGATAATATAGGGATGATCCACTTTTTCCTTGAATGGAGGCGTAACCAATGTCTATCCAACAACATCACCCTCTGCTTGTCTGAACACATTTGCATATTTCAAAATTTTTCCTGCAACTCCGCTCACTTAATCCAAATAAAAAACTTGTCTATGTTTACTCACATAGGCCCGACTTATGCCTGCCTTCTTGTAAGATGGATGGAACACTTTTGTCATTCCCAGTGTCCTGATTAATGTTTGTTCACCTCAAACAAAGCTCATGACTCTCAACAAAAATGTATCCCAGTGAGGAAGAAGGATTTTAGGAAGGGACAAAGTGATCATGATTAACTAGGGAAGTTAATGACAGTATCAAATTTAAAGAGAAAAAAAAAATCTGGCAAAGATTAGTGGTAAATCAGAGGATTAGGAAAGTGTTAACAGCTAACAAAAGATGACAAACAAAGATGGAGAAAACAAACAATGGGGGCAAACAAGCAAGTAACATAAAAACAGATGGTAAGAGCCTTTTTAAATAGAGTTGGACTGAAAGGTCCATGATAAAAGGAAGATAGAGGCAACAGAGAACAAAAAGAGAAAACAGAGAATTGGGATAAAGGGGGCACTTACAGGATGGCAACCTATAACTAATAGAGTGCCACAGGAATCAGTGCTAGAGACAATTATTTACAATATATTTTAATGACTTGGATGATAGAAGTGAATGAACTATCCCCAAGTTTGCTGATGACACAAAAATAGCTAGGAAGGCACAATGTGTCTAGGGAGGGATAAAGACAATTTAAATGAGTGGGTAAAAACTTAGCAGATTGAATATAATGTGGGAAAGTGTGAGTTTGTATACTTTGGCAGGAAGAATAGAAGAGCTGAAATTACTCAAAGGGAATGGAATATAAAACAGGGAGGTTTTACTAGAACTATACAAGGTACTAGACAAGCCACAGCTGGAATTCTATGAACAGTTTTGAGCCCCTTACCTAAGGAACTTGGCATTGGAGCAGTCCAGAAAAGGTTTGCTGAGTTGATCCCAGGATTTGAGGGATTTTCTTATGAGAAGAGGTTGAGTAGGTTACGCTTATATTCATTACAGATTAAGAGAATAAGGAGAGATCCTATTGAAACACATAAAATATTTAGGGGCTGCTTGAATGTGTAGATTC